ACTACACATGGGTGAACCTTGAATATGTTATGCTAACTAAAGCCCCACATAAAATGGCAAATATTGTATGATTCCACTTAAACGAAATACTTAGAATAGGTAAATTCATAAAGCCAGGAAGTAGAGATTACTAGGAGCTGGAGGGAGGAGGGACTTGGGGAGTTAGTGTTTAATGGTTACAGAATTTTGGTCATGGTGGTGAAAAAATTTGGAAGCAGTGGCAATGGTTGTACAACATTGTGGATATAGTTAGTGCAACAGAATTGTATACTTAAAATGGTTAAAACAGCAAGTTTTATGTTACATATATATTTTTAGCACAGTTTTTAAAGCTTAATAATACACCAAAACCATTGAATTTTATACTTCATATCAGTGAGTTGTATGGGATATGAATTATATCTCAGTAAAGCTGTTTTTTAAACAATTGGAGTCTGAAAGACTTGCAAATATAACAGTAATTTGTTCACTTCCCCCACTTTTGCTTAAAAAAAAAAAGAGGAAGTCAAGGCAGGACTGGAAAGCAGAAAGGACTTGAGTCATGCATTCTTCTGCCTGGAACTGTTGAACCCAAATGCTGCCACCCAGCTGCCTCCTGGCTCCAGGCTCAAACCCTTATAAAAACAGATAACCTAAACCCTAAGCAGACAGTGTTGGTCTAACCAATGAACTCACATTCTTACATCTGTGACTCAGTTCCTGGTCAACTCAACACTTAGTGAAATCTGAGTAACTACCTGCTCACTTTAGGATGCAGATAAAAGAGAGGGCTGTCACTCTCCAGGAGAAATGTTAGTGTTCTTCAGTCACACCACTCTTCTCCTATGTAACAAACAAACAAAAAGTATGTAAGTTATGAAGAAACAAAATAAAAGGGGGACCTGCAATCATGTTTTAGAAATAATCTGAACAACACTCATATGATCCAGATATGGGAAGTAGCAGGCAAAGACTTTAAAATAACTGTGTGCTCAAGGATTTATAGGAAAAGGAAAGAGTGGGTGGAATAAAGAATCTCAGCAGAGAAATGGGAATTACAAATGCTAATAAAAAATCTTGATCTGTAACTTAAGTTCAAATCTAGTATCCAAAATAAAAAGTGATCCGACAGGTATAACAGCAGAGAATACTATGGAGGAGCAGTGTACTTGACGTGCCAATAGCAATTAGCTAAAATGAAGCTCAGAGAAACTGAAAAAATATTTTGACTAGAAAAAGACCCAAAACATACAGGGAAACAATGTTTTGTGTGGTTATAAGGGGATACAAAATATATAACAACCATAGCAAAAAGGCAAAAAGATTATCTTTGCTACCGGTAGTTCCCAGCTGGTTGCCCCACAGAGGGATTTCACAGTCACATGTCTGGGGCCATTGTTTGGTCCTAATGAGTTGGGGTGCTACTGGCTACATTAAAATTACAAACTAATTACAAAGTCATCAAAAGACTTTGTTATGAAATGAAAAGCCAGAGCATAGACTGGGAGAAAATATTTGTATATGTCAAAAGGGCTTCTATCCAGAATATATAAAGAACTCTTCACATTTCAAAAAAAGGACAGCCCAATTTAAAAATAAGCAAAATATTTGGACATACACTTTACAAAAGAGGATATGTAAGTGGCCAGTTAAGCAAATGACGACACGCTCACCATTGTTAGTCATCAGAAAAATGCAAATTAAAGCCACATTCATACCCATCAGAATTACTACAATTTAAGAACTAACAAAACCAAATTTGGAAAATATCTAGAGCAACTAGATCTCATAATGCATTGCTGGTGGGAATGTAAAATGGTACAGTCACTTTGGAAAACTTTCTGGCAATTTCTTAAGTTAAATACACACTTACTTTATGGTTTAGCAATTCTAGTCCTGGGTATTTACCCCCCAAAAAATGAAAATATTTGTCCACAAAAAAACTTCTATAAGAATGTTCAAAGCAGCTGTGTTTATGAAAGCCAAAACGTGGAAACAATCCACATGTTCATCACCAGAATAGCAAACACTGACATAGTCATACAACAGAATACTACTCAGCCATAAGAAGGGAAGGGTTACTAATGCGTGCAGCAGTGTGGACGAATCTCAAAAGTACATGCTGATTCTGGCGAGGTCAGTTAGGTAAGAAAATGAAATTAAAGGCATCCAGAATGGAAAGGAAGAAGTATAATTATCTGCAGATAGCATGATCATGTATACAGAAAATCCTAGGAATCCACTAAAAAACTATTAGAACCAACAAATGGGCTCAGCATGCTTGGAGGATACAAGATCAATGTATAAAGCAGTTATATTTCTACGTTTTTGCAACGAACCATCTGAAAACAAAATTAAGAAAATTCCATTTTCAAGCATCAAAAAGAATACAATGCTTAGGAATAAATCTAACAAGTATAAAATATATACTCTGAATAGAGCATTGTTTAAAGAAATTAAAGATCTAAATAAATGGATATCCTGTGTTAATGGATGGGAAGACTTAAAATACTATTAAAATGGCAATGTATAGCTAGTAAACTGCAGAACCACGACTCTACAAATTAATTATTCATGCAGGAATTCAGTGATGAGGACACACAGAAGTGGCCATGTTCAGAAAGCTTACATTTGATGGAGAGTGTTAGTCCTTACTCAGAGGGTTTGGTTTCAGATAGTTTTAAGTACTATGAAGAGAATAAAATAGGATGATGTAATGGTAATCAGGGAATATGATTTAAGTTAGGAAATGCCTTTCTGAAGGTGTCTCATAAATGTCTTTTTACATTGTTTCTTTGAATTAGTATCAAGTCAGGTCCACACACTGAGGTTGATGGATAAGTCTCTTTAGCTATAGATTGCTCCCCCATGTCTCTCACTTTTTTGTTTTTCCTCATAGTTCAGTTACTGAGCAAAGCAGACCATTTGTCGTACAGTTTTCTGTGGTCTCGTTGCTGACTCCATCTCCATGGTACGGCTTCCAAGTTATCTTGTTCCTTTGTCCTCTTCCTGTGAAGTCGTGATTGGGTCTGGAGGCTTGATGAGATTCAGGTTTGGGTTTTGGGGGAATTGGCAGAGGGGCCAGTAAAAGGCTGAATCTTGAACACTGACTCACTATTTAATGATATTAAGGAATTATTAAGTTTTTAGGACAGTGGTATTATGGTTATGCTTTATGTTTTAGAGATTTATACTGGAAAGTCAGTGGATAAAATGGGAAGATGTCTGAGATTTGCTTCCTACTAATAAAGTATGGGAGAAGTAAATGGTAGTATAGATAAAACGCAGTGGGCACATGGTAGATTCTTTATACTCTTCTATCTACTTTTTGTACACTTAAACTTTTCCATAATTTAAAGTTTTAAAACCTACTTTTATCACAATTAAAATGAATGGGACTGTCTCTTACCCATTTATGAAGATGAGTAACTGTCAATTCATATTCAGAGCCATTATTTTTCAAATCATATGTTTAAAATTAAGTTGAGCCTGAAGTCATTTTTTGTAGGACAGAAACATCCATATATTGGCAGTTGCCTGTGTTTCAGCCTAAACACCTGATGTTTTCTACATGTACACATTAGTCGTCATGTCTTCCTTCCTTTCCTAATGAGTTTACTGTTTATTAAACCAATGCTTTCGTGGTTGGATTGGGCTCCAAGTTTTAAAAAGCCGGTGCTCATTATTAAATGTTACAGTAAGCTCTCTCTGTGCAGAGGGTGATAAAAGGTGATGTCAGAGATGGACAGGCCAGATCATATGGGATCTTTTAGAATTTTTAAACAGGAGTAACATCTATCTGACTACCATTTAAAAATATTATTCTAGCTGCAGTGTCAACACAGATTGTAGTGGAAGCAAAACGTTGATTGTTGTATGGTCTAGGCATAAAGTTAGGGTTAGATGACTCAGACCAGGGTAGTGGCTGTGCACCTGCAGGGGAGGAGACCCACTGGGAGGATGTCTCAGAGGTGGCCCCCTGGAAGTCTGACTTTTGTGGGGATTAAATAATTACTTGTAAAGTACTTAGAAAAGTACCCAGCACATAGTGCTCAATCATTGGTCCATTATTGTTGTGATGGTTAAAATACTGAAAGCAACCATTTTTGAGCATATAATTATATTCTAGGTACTACTCTGAAGTGGTAAATGGCTCGTGTAACTCACTCACTGTTTCGAGGTGGTTAGTTTATCCCTATTTTACAGGAGAGGGACTTCATACCATTCTTCCCACCTTTGAAAGGGGCTCCTGTGAGGTTCCTGTGCACAGCGACCCATTTCTAAAAGCCTACTTTATTCTGCATTATTGGCCAGGAAGATGTCATACCTAACTAATATTATGGTCCCTCAAGTAAAGCTCTGCTCTTCCTTAAAAAACCAATTTCCAAATAGAAATAAAGCATGTAGTGCCCAATAGAGCTTTGAGTCAGCATGCACCCTTAGCAGCCTCCTTTAAGCATAAGATTTGCAAACTTGGACGGAATTCAGCTGTGGTCATTATTTCAACAATAGAGCTAATTTAAGCTTATTTCTGCAGTCCTGGAAAAGTCATTATGAAATAAAAGTGCACAGATTGGGAGAAAAGAGTGTAAATCACTTACTATTGGTTGCTGATAAGTTCAGCCAAATACTAAAGGAATCTAAATAAGTGATGTTTGTAATGTTTTTAAACTTTTTCCTTGAGGGGAACTCTTATGGGGTTGGTTTTCCTGCCTCAGGCATCATGTCAAGCAGAGACTGCAGGCAGCCGAGCAGATAAACATTGACGGTTTTCTCACCTGCCATAAATCATGTTTTCAGAGAACATGAACATGGACTAGCTTGAGAACTTCTGATTGGCAGGAAGCCCGTGCAGAGTCCAGCCCCTTTTGTGGCTATTAGAACATCCGTACCAGAACTAATCAGGGTTCTCTTGCTTTTTCCATTTGTCCCAGCCCTGAGCACCTCCTGTGCATGGATGTGGCCTGCTATTTCACCATGACCTCTCGTCCTATCTCACTTCCTGTCTCTCTGTTGTTTAGCCATCATCATCTTCCAGTGGCAGCGTGTTTGGATCTGGAAGCGCTGGAAGAGGGGGAGGTTTCTTCAGTGGCCTTGGAGGGAAACCCAGCCAGGATGCAGCCAACAAAAACCCGTTCAGCTCGGCCAGCGGGGCCTTCGGATCTACAGCCACCCCAAGTGAGTCGAGAAAGCGTATTGCCGGTCCCTCGGACCACTGATGCCATTGTCATCCTCACGGTTCTATCAAAGCTTCAGTGACAAGTGTGGAAAGGAAAGAAAAGGTCTAGAAAGCCCATTTAAAATACCCACCCCAAAGTGATGTGATCTGTTTTTGTTTTTTATTTTTGGTTTTTAAATGAGATGTCCT